TCATTTTTCGAGTTGTGGGCCGTGACGGCCGCAACTTCTTCTTGCCGCGCGGGCGCCCGCTGATGTAGACGCAGGGCAACAACTTCCGATTTCACGTTCAAGCTGCTCGAGACAGATAGGCCGCTCGCCCGGAGTGAGCGCGGAGTCCCCGCGATGATGACCCCTCGGTAGTTGTGTGGATCGGGGCGTTGCGTCGGTGGGCGTTGGGCTGCGGTCGTGTCCTGGAAGACCGCGAGTCCAGGCCAGAAAAAACTTTTTTTTTGTTGACCAGTGTAATCTGGGCATTGATGCCCACCAGGTTAAGGAACCGCTGGCGTTAGAGTAAAGTGCTTCTCGGAGGGGAGGGAGGGGTGGTTCCGTGCCGGTCTGTCACGGTCCACCAGAGGTCGCAACCGGGTACCCGATACCCGTACCCTACCCGATACCCGGCTACCCGTACCCGGCCGGGTACGGGTCCCCGTTTGCGAACCTGGTGCGGCCGGGTACGGGTAGGCCGTGGTGAGTAACCGTTTGTCACTCATTTCCCAACGTCTTGTCTCTTCTCACAATTCAAGTTCCTAGAATCAACCCACCCGCGCCTGCAACATGGCTTCATCCCAGAGGTCGCAATCGGGTACCCGTACCCGTACGGGTACGGCCGGGTACGGGTATCCGTTTGCGACCCTGGTGCAGCCGGGTACGGGTACGGAATAAAAACCCGTTTGCGACCTCTGTGGTCCACCCGGTTGTTCCGGCGGGGCTTTGATGCAAACTGCAACAACGTTCTATTAAAATTGTAAGTTTCGATTTAAAGCTTTCGTGACTGCAGGGATTCATCTTCTTGGTTCTTTCGGTAAAGTCACGTAGAAGGGAAGTAATAAAATAATAAAAATAAAACATAATAAAATAATTCTCACGACGTTTCGGCCACAACGCAAGCAGCCGTCCTCAGGTGAAGAATGAAACACCACCAAGCTTGGAGCGTATATTTAAGCTGGGTTGGAGGGGGGAAATCAGAGCGCCTTGACAAAGAATATGCTAAATTCCTCTTATTTCCCCCCTCCAACCCAGCTTAAATATACGCTCCAAGCTTGGTGGTGTTTCATTCTTCACCTGAGGACGGCTGCTTGCGTTGTGTTCTATTTTTATTATTTTATTACTTCCCTTCTACGCGACTTTACCGAAAGAACCAAAAAGAAGAAAAATTATAAGTGTTGTGGATTTACTCTCCAACGCACCGCCGGCGGGCTGAAGCGGTCACTGATTGGCGCGTTGTTTACTTGACGAAACATTTCCTGGCCGTGTCGGGTGGTGGAGGGTTACGGCACATTTCTGCTCACGCGATCTAACCCAAGAAGGTTCATCATGAACGTTGATATGTAAACTCCTTTGTCAAGGCACTCTGCTCCTCCCACCCAGTTTAAAATATGCTGCCAAGCTTAGCCGTGTTCATTAGGACGGTGTCTTTCCGACAGCTCTGTTTCTTCACCTGAGGACGGCTGCTTGCGTTGCGGCCGAAACGTCGTGAGAATTGTATTATGTTTTATTTTGATCATTTTATTATTTCCCTTCTACGTGACTTTACCGAAAGATCCAAGAATATGAACGTTTTATTGTCACGTTTGTGTTCCGGACGTGAATGAACGTTTTTAGCTCGTGACATTTAACTTCAAAAATGAAGTTATGTTAACGACGACGGATTAGACCACCCTAAGCCTTAAATCGAAATTTCACCGCCCCGTACTTGCCCGACACCCGAAAATGTAGAGCTGCGTTTAAGAAAAAATGCTTTCGTGTTCCGGTAAGGTGAATCATTTTGTATTCGTGCTATTTAGAGAGAAATAAGCGAACGTGTTTTTGTCACCAACACTGGGTGGGCTGAGTGGGTCCGCGGCAGAGGTCGCAAACGGGTTTTGATCCCTTACCCGTACCCGTACCCGGCCGCACCAGGGTCGCAAATGGGTACCCGTACCCATACCCGGCCGGGTACGGGTACCCGTTCCCTACCCGTACCCTACCCGAAATGAGTGACAAACGGTTACTCACCAGTGACTCACGGCCTACCCGTACCCGGCCGCACCAGGGTAGCCGGGTATCGGGTAGGGTACGGGTATCGGGTACCCGGTTGCGACCTCTGGTCCGCGGGGCCTAACACGTTTCAGCAACGCTCCGCTCGACGTCAATATAAGCGAGGCAAGGGCAGGCAGTGGAGTGGCTGGTTACCGCCCGCACGACCTTACGACGGGACATTTCCCGGGTTCGAATTCTCGCTCGTTCTCCCTCGATACGGCACGCGTTTCCCCTGGCTTCTGCGGTTTCCTCCTCCTCCCGTAAAGCGAAATAAACTGTACGACGTTTTTATTGGACCAGGTAAAGCACCGCCGAGATGTTTTTACAGCTCCTGGTCACGAATGATAGCTCGGATTATTATCATCATCGCGTGAAAATGTATCGCAGCAGATGAATACTCTGAACGCGCCGACGTTCATTCTAATTGTGGAGGTTGAAAAACCGGTGGACGTGGATGAAAAATCCACGCGATCACGGGGAGGAAGAGGGAGCGAGAGAGAGCGAGAGAGAGAGACACACGTGCAAACTCCGAATATACAGCAGCAGGTGTCGGGGGTTGGGATCGAACCCACGACCTCCTGCATACCCGGCGAGGTAGCTAACATCCCGCCACCGTGGCTCCCCCAAGCGTCCGCTTGGTTCGGGGTTAACGAAAGCGGAGGACCGGCCAAGGCGGACTGCAACGCCACCAAGGGGCGTCCCGGTGCATCCGCGTGTTTTTTGGCAGCGCCGTGCCCCGCCCGGCTATAACCACAGCACCCTCCAGCGGTTTCCTCCCGCGCGACTCCACACTCGGTGGGGTTTTCGCAGCCAACGTGACGACGATTCGCGATTGGATTATTTTTTTTGTTGGGGGTTGGGGTTGGGGGTGGGTTGAGGGGGGTGTGGGGGTGGGCGTCTTCGGCCGCCGTGGTTATCCGGGGAGCGGCCAGATTTGTGCCGTCAAGAACCCCCCCCCCACCCTCCGCCACCCTGCAAAGCCAAACGAATTGAACATTGCACGGACAAAAGCGCGCTGGTTAACCAGGCGGCGGGGCGTGTTAACGACGCGGACGTTTTTTTTTTGCCATCCGTTTGGCTCGCTCGACCGGCGCCGGTCAAAGGGCAATCGTTCCCATCCGCCGGCGGCTTGGGGCGGTTGGGATACGATCAGCTGATCAGCTCTTAGTGTGCCGCTGTGTCGGATGTTGGCCGGGACTGTGGGATGCAGGAGGTCCGGAATGAAAAAAATAAAATTTTCAAAATCAAATCACCCGTGGAATCCCGACTTCCTACGTCCCGTCGTGTGAGTAGAGCAGAGGTCGCAACCGGGTACTCGATACCCGTACCCTACCCGATACCCGTACCCTACCCGATACCCGTACCCTACCCGATACCCGGCTACCCGTACCCAGCCATCGAACAAAGGCGGTGAGGTCACCGAATCGCGCGGCGCTTTCAGACGCGCCTCTGCGGCCGTCTGGAACGCTCTTTCGATGTTAGAAAGCCACTGGAGCCTGTGCACTTTTAAATCATCATCATCATGATTGACAAACTCATGTCTTTGGAGCTGCTTCTTGTCGCGTTTAGTTTGTTGTCCTTCCCCCGCACCTCCGATGAACGTGGTTGGCTACGTGCGGTGCGGAATGAGTTCGACGCCCAATGAGCAAGGGGTTTGTCACGTGCAGCAAAGCGTGCCAAGTCGTTACGCGTACAACACAACACCCGCTGTGTGTTGCAGAGTCAACCCACTACAGCATTTACAATTATAGTGTAGTGTGTTATAGTGTAGTGTATATTGTAGTATACTAGTTCAGCACAACACCCGCTGTGTGTTGGAGAGTCAACCCACTACAGCATTTACAATTATAGTGTAGTGTGTTATAGTGTAGTGTATATTGTAGTATACTAGTTCAGCACGCACCGGTTGTGTGTTGGAGAGTCAACCCACTACAGCATTTACAATTATAGTGTAGTGTGTTATAGTGTAGTGTACATTGTAGTATACTATTTCGATTTAAAGCTTTCGTGACTGCAGGGATTCATCTTCTTGGTTCTTTCGGTAAAGTCACGTAGAAGGGAAGTAATAAAATAATAAAAATAAAACATAATAAAACAATTCTCACGACGTTTCGGCCACAACGCAAGCATTCAGACTCTGTCGCCTCGACGGACCTGGTTTTCACCTGAAGACGGCTGCTTGCGTTGTGGCCGAAACGTCGTGAGAATTGTTTTATTATGTTTTATTTTTATTATTTTATTACTTCCCTTCTACGTGACTTTACCGAAAGAACCAAGAAGATGTAGTATACTAGTTCAGCACAACACCCACTGTGTGTTGGAGAGTCAACCCACTACAGCATTTACAATTATAGTGTAGTGTGTTATAGTGTAGTGTATATTGTAGTATACTAGTTCAGCACGCACCGGTTGTGTGTTGGAGAGTCAACCCACTACAGCATTTACAATTATAGTGTAGTGTGTTATAGTGTAGTGTATATTCTAGTATACTAGTTCAGCACACACCGGTTGTGTGTTGGAGAGTCAACCCACTACAGCATTTACAATTATTGTGTATAGTGTAGTGTATAGTGTAGTGTATAGTTTAACAGTGTGTAGTGTATAGTGTAGGTGTAGTATATAGTGTAGTATACTAGTTCAGCGCACACCGGTTGTGTGTTGGAGAGTAAACCCACTACAACATTTACAATTATAGTGTAGTGTATAGTGTAGTAGTGTCTAGTGTATAGTGTAGTGTATAGTGTAGTGTATAGTGTAGTGTATAGTATAGTATACTAGTTCAGCACACACCGGTTGTGTGTTGGAGAGTCAACCCACTACAACATTTACAATTTGAGTACTACGCACGTAGCCAAAGACGACCGCCGCGACGATAATTGTCAGCCGTTACGACGACGACGACGATGACGACTTTGCCGCTCTCGGCGCGCACGTGTCGCTGTTTTCGCCAGGCGAGCCTCGCAACACGCCCAGTCCCATCGACCCCGAGAGCATCGAGGTGTCCATCGGCTACGACCCGGACCCCGTCGACCTCGCGCTCTCCTCCGTGCCGGGCCAGGAGATGTTCGACCCGCGGAGGCGCAAGTTCAGCGAGGAGGAGCTCAAGCCACAGCCCATCGTGAAGAAGGCCAAGAAGAACCTGATCCCCGTCGACCTCAAGGTGAGAAGAGGGGTGAGGGTGTCGGCTGCTGGGTAGACCGAGCGACAGACGGAACGGCGGGGCCGGCAGGCCAGCAGGCAGACGGACCGCCCCCGCAGTCGCTCCGTCTGCCCGTCTTGTTTGCCGGTCACCCGCACTGACAGGCGGGCAGACAGACGGACAGACGGATGGCTTGCAAGTCGCTCTGCATGTCCTGTTTGTCGGTCAGCCACTCAGACAGGCGAGCAGACAGACGGACTGATTGGCAGATGGACAGACGGTCGGTCTGTCCGTCGGTGAAATCGGTCAGTCTGTCCGCCGGTCTTATGGGTCTGGCTGGCTGTGCCTGTCCCTTGTTGGCCTGTCGCTGGGTCTGCCCGGTGATCACCCATCCTCGGCCCTCTTCTCACCTTGAGGTCCACGGGGATCAGACAGATTAGACGGACAGGCCGACCAACGCACCACGGGGCACACACGCCACGAGAGACGGTAACGTGGAGAGGCGGGCGGGCAGACAGACCGAGAGATGGACACGCACCGACAGAGAGAGACGGTTAAACGGTCTGTCGGACCGTCGGTCTGCCTGTTTCTTCGTCTCGATGCCTATCGGTCAGTCTGCCTGTCATTCTGTCTGTCATTCTGTCTGTCTGTTGTTCTGGCCGTCGGCGTCGCCTCTCCGTGTGTATATTCGTCTCGGTTTCTTGGTCCATCTGTCACTCTCTCTCTCTCTGTCTGTATTGTCGGTAAGTCGGACAGACAGACAGACAGACAGATCCGAGCGGATAGTCGGCCGTGTGCCTCCCTCCATCAGAGGGCCTAACTAATCCAGCCCCGCGGAACCAGGCAACTGCCTGTGTTCGTCTGACAGGAGGACGTATTACAGGTAGGAACAATGTGCCACACTGCCCACCAGGGATGTTTTGTCTGTCTGTCGTGCATAAATATATATATATATAATATAAACAGCTCTTTGATTGGTGGAGACCTACTGCCGGGTACGGAGAGGGGAGGGGCCTAAGGGAGGAGGGTCAGGGGAGGGGCCTAAGGGAGGGGGGGTGGTCAGGGGAGGGGCCAAAGGGAGGGGGGGTCAGCGGAGGGGCCTGAGGGAGGGGGGTCAGGGGAGGGGCCTAAGGATATGGGGGGGGTGGGCCTAAGGATATGGGTGGGTGGTCAGGGGAGGGGCCTAAGGGAGGGGGGGTAAGGGGAGGTGCCTAAGCAAGGGGGAGGGGCCGATAGTTTCGGGGGCTGGCTACCTGGCTGGCTGCCTGGCTACCTCAAGTCAAGTCGTCTTTTATACAGGTAGGAACAACAGGTTCCACACTGCCCACCAGGGATTATGTGTCTGTCTGTCGTGCATATTTGTCTGTCATGCACGAATGCGCTGTCCAACCAAGTTCCTACCTGCCCACTCCGAAGGAACGTGTTCGTTCGACAAAATGCCAGCCCGTCGAAATGTTTTCAGCGGTTCGTAACGGCCACATCGGAGACGGCGGCCGCTGAGATCTTGAGGCCCAAAGGCGTCTCTCTCTCTCTGAGGGTTCGCCGTGACCATGATGCAGACACCGACCGAGAACCGCTGAGATCTTGAGGCCCAAAGGCGTCTCTCTCTCTCTGAGGGTTCACCGTGACCATGATGCAGACACCAACCGAGAACCGCTGAGATCTTGAGGCCCAATGGTCTCTCTCTCTCTCTGAGGGTTCACCGTGACCATGATGCGGACACCGACCCAGAACCGCTGAGATTATTGAAGCCCAATGGTCTCTCTCTCTCTCTGAGGGTTCGCCGTGACCATGATGCAGACACCGACCCAGAACCGCTGAGATCTTGAGGCCCAATGGTCTCTCTCTCTCTGAGGGTTCACCGTGACCATGATGCGGACACCGACCCAGAACCGCTGAGATCTTGAGGCCCAAAGGTCTCTCTCTCTCTGAGGGTTCACCGTGGCCATGATGCGGACACCGACCCAGAACCGCTGAGATCTTGAGGCCCAATGGTCTCTCTCTCTGAGGGTTCACCGTGATCATGATGCGGACACCGACCCAGAACCGCTGAGATTCCTGAGGCCCAAAGGTCTCTCTTTCTCTCTCTGAGGGTTCACCTTGACGATGATGCGGACACCGACCCAGAACCGCTGAGATCTTGAGGCCCAATGGTCTCTCTCTCTCTGTGGGTTCACCGTGACCATGATGCAGACACCGACCCAGAACCGCTGAGATTCCTGAGGCCCAAAGGTCTCTCTCTCTCTCTGAGGGTTCACCGTGACCATGATGCAGACACCGACCCAGAACCGCTGAGATCTTGAGGCCCAATGGTCTCTCTCTCTGAGGGTTCACCGTGATCATGATGCGGACACCGACCCAGAACCGCTGAGATTCCTGAGGCCCAAAGGTCTCTCTTTCTCTCTCTGAGGGTTCACCGTGACGATGATGCGGACACCGACCCAGAACCGCTGAGATATTGAGGCCCAATGGTCTCTCTCTCTCTCTCTCTGAGGGTTCACCGTGACCATGATGCAGACACCGACCCAGAACCGCTGAGATTCTTGAGGCCAGAGCGTGCAGTGGAAGTCTTGCAGCAACCCTAGAAATGCCGTAACTCCTGAGTAAACATGGGCAGGTGAAGTCTTGCGAGTTAATTGTTTACAAAGTAACACACATAATAGCGAACTTGTATTTAAGAACTTGTCTCTTGGATTTTTCCTCACTTGAGACAGTAAATCTGGCTGTGGCGGTCCCACCTGAAGACGGAGACTTGTGTTGCCTCCGAAACGTCGTGATTTATTATTTTATTTCTATTATTATTTCTATTATTTTTGTTATTTATTTTTACCTACGTGACTTTACCGAAAACACCTAAGAGTATGAATCCTTGCAGTCACGAAAGCTTCAAATCTAGAACGTGATAGCGAAACAAAATTTTTAATAACTTTAATAACCACACTCGAGGAGAATTACATGACTACACGAGGCCTTAGCCACAGACTTGCTGAAGCAAATTAACAATGTCGTCCCGCCAGCCATGTTGCCTGGGGGACGCAATGGCGGCCGTGTCGTGCGTGTGACGTCACGGCGGCTGTGTGACATCACGGCGGCAGTGTGCGTGTGACATCACGGCGGTCGTGTCGTGCGTGTGACATCATGGCGGCCGTGTCGTGCGTGTGACGTCACGGCGGCTGTGTGACATCACGGCGGACGTGTCGTGTGTGTGACATCACGGCGGCAGTGTGTGTGTGACATCACGGCGGATGTGTCGTGCGTGTGACATCACGGCGTCAGTGTGCGTGTGACATCACGGCGGACGTGTCGTGCGTGTGACATCACGGCGGACGTGACGTGCGTGTGACGTCCCGACGGCTGTGTGACGTCACGGCGGCCGTGTCGTGCGTGTGACCTCACGGCGGCCGTGCGTATGACGTCAAGGCGGTCGTGTCGTGCGTGTGACGTCACGGCGGTCGTGTCGTGCTTGTGACGTCACAGCGGACGTGTCGCGCGTGTGACGTCACGGCGGACGTGTCGCGCGTGTGACGTCACGGCGGCCGTGTCGCGCGTGTGACGTCACGGCGGACGTGTCGCGCGTGTGACGTCACGGCGGCCGTGTCGCGCGTGTGACGTCACGGCGGTCGTGTCGCGCCTGCGACGTCACGGCGGCCGTGTCGTGCGTCTTCCTGGCAGCTGATTGGCTGGTGCAGCTGGGGATGATTACGTAACCCCTCGCAGCCGCTCTTAGGAGAGCAAAAAGGTCGCGACTTGCGATCCGTTTTCTCTCGTACTTCAGATTTGTGTACTCTAGCCCACCGAGTTTAACGTTTCACTCCTCGTGGAGTGTATCTCATAATGAATTTACCATAATTATCATGAGAAAGGAGCGCTTGTGCGTGCGCGCTGTTGAACTTCCTTCGCGCCGTACGTAGCCAAACCGCGGCAATCGGAGGGTGCGCGGTGACGAACGACGACGAATGTGATGTCATAACGTCCGTCCTCTGGATCGTGACGCAATAAACTTTGGCGCGTGCGTGTGTGCATGCGCGTGTGTGCGTGCGTGTGTGCATGTGCGTGCGTGTGTGCATGCGCGTGTGTGCATGCGCGTGCGTGTGTGCGCGTAACTTTTATTGGCAGCGAGCGATCTTTTTTGTTGGAGGTGTGCGTCTTCGTTTCCCCGAGTGTGTTTATTTAAAAAGCACACATCTTGTGGGCTGAGGTTTCGTTCCGCGGTTCGTTTCCGTCGGCGTCGCCCACCGTTAAAGATAATCCCCGTGACGTCGTTCGAATCAGGGGTAGGGCCATCGCATGCCGGCGTAACACATTCCACGCGTTTGCCAAATTTGAGACTTATTTTTTTATATAAATGTACACCGCTAAATACTCCCAATGGGGAATCTCACAAAGGAGTAATCATCGCCGTTTTTGGGTTAGATCGCGTCAATATAAATGTGTCGTTTAACCCGCCAACAAAACGTGGCCAATTCGTTACCAGTTCGGCGCACACCAGAGTTCGCAACCGGGTACCCGATACCCGTACCCTACCCGATACCCAGCTACCCGTACCCGGCCAGGTACGGGTACCCGTTTGCGACCCTGGTGCGGCCGGGTTTGGGTACGGGTAGACCGTGAGTCACTGGTGAGTAACTGTTTGTCACTCATTTCGGGTAGAGTACGGGTAGGGAACTGGTACCCGGCCGGGTACGGGTAGCCGTTTGCCACCCTGGTGCGGCCGGGTACGGGTAAGGAATCAATCAAAATCAAAACCCGTTTGCGACCCCTGGCGCACACCGCGTGTGTGAAACCCACCACAACATTTACAATTCCAGTGCCGTGACGTTTCGCCGCTAATCGCAACAACAACCAACAGCACCAGGCGGACAGCCGGAGAGATATCCGCCTGTTTGAAAGCACAGCGCCTTCCTTTGTCGATAGCCGAACCCACCCTGCGAGACCGACACCTGACAGCGAATGCGTTGATCGCGGATCGGCACGGCAAATTAAAATGAAACGCACTCGATGGAAGAAAAAAAAATATATAACTTTAATAACAACAATAATAATCGTAAACGACCACCCTCGATCGGATTCGAACCCCCTCCTCCCCTCCCTCTGTCCCACCTGCTGCATCCATCGCGGGTTCCCCGATCTCCCACGTCCATCGCGGCCGGGCGGGGGGGGGGGGGACCCGTTTATCTGCGTGCAGCGCGTGGCTGTTGACCAGAGGTCGCAACCGGGTACCCGATACCAGTACCCTACCCGATACCCGGCTACCAGTACCCGGTAGGCCGTGAGTCACTGGTGAGTCACCGTTTGTCACTCATTTCGGGTAGGGTACGGGTAGGGAACGGCTACCCGTACCCAGCTGGGTGCGGGTAGCCGTTTGCGACCCTGGTGCAGCCGGGTACGGGTAGGCCGTGAGTCACTGGTGAGTAACCGTTTGTCACTCATTTCGGGTAGGGTACCCTTACCCGGCTGGGTACGGGCAAGGAATCAAAACCCGTTTGCGACCTCTGCTATTGACGTGCTCTCTCCCCCCGCTCTCCCCCCGCTCCCCCCCCCCCCCCACACACACACACACGCACCACACACCACACACACACGCACCACACGCACCACACACGTTGCCGCGTGCGTCGCCGCGTGCGTGCAGGACGACAGGTACTGGGCCCGCCGCAGGAAGAACAACGTGGCGGCCAAGCGTTCGCGCGACGCCCGGCGGCTCAAGGAGAACCAGATCGCGGTGCGCGCCGCCTTCCTCGAGAAGGAGAACTCGGTGCTGCGGCAGGAGATGGCCGAGCTGAAGCGAGACCTGGGACGCTTTCGCAACATCGTCGGCAAGTACGAGGCCAAGCACGGCTCGCTGTGAGACGTCCACCGCCAGCCCCGCTCTCCGCCCGCCCGCTCGCCCCGCTCGCCCCGACCGCCCATCTCCCCCGTCGTCTCGTCCGTCTCGCCACGGCGGGACCGATCGTCCCTCTGCCGGCGGCGTTGGCGTCTCGCCCCGCAGCCGCAGCCAGCCGACCCCGACGAGTCTGGCCGGCGTCTGGCCCGGCTTGTCTGCTCGTCGGCCACCAACGGCTGACGGATCGGCCCCCCGGTCTCCCGCCCGCCCGCCCTAGCGTCGTCACGGTCATCCTCCTCCTCCTCCTCGCCATCGTCGCCCCACGTCGTTCACCCGTTGCTCGCCCCCTTCGTGCCCACGCCACGCTGACCCCCTCTCACCGGCGCGGGGGTCGGGGGTGAGGGTTGTGTGCAGGAAGCAGCAGTGCATTGTGGATTCAATCGGTCCGGGCCTCCGGCGGCGATGCAGCGGTGGCGTGCGAGGCGAGGGCGGCCGTCCCGGTGAGGCGGAGCGGTCGAACGCCGTCGGCCGTGGGTTGTGTTTGCGTTGTGCACCCGCTGTGTGTTTTGCGTCGCACGCCGCTGTGTAGCTCATAGGGGGGGGGGGGGGGGTGGGGGGACGGCTCTTTAGTTTCTTTGCTCCGTGAGCATTAGCCGTTGCCGTGGGAGTGGGATGGGGGGGTCGGGCGACCGACAAGAAACGTGGCGGCCGCCACTGCCGATCCGCCGCTGCTACTGCCGCCACCGTGGGGGGAGGCCGGGGGGTGTGGGGGGAGAGGTTTTCAACCGCGGAGTGAAAAATGTTAAAACTCTGCGAGCTTGGCCGAGGTTCGCACGCGGATTCGCGGACCCGGCGGTTTGGAAGGGCGAGCGTGTGGACCCCCCCCCCCCCCTTCACGCGAGAACCCCCTCGCGTCTTGAACCCTTCGCATGAAACCCGAGCGATCACCTTAACCCACCCCGGATGTCGTCGCCCGGCACCGCGTCCGACCGCGCCCGAACCCAACCTTCTCCCGTCGCACACCCCCCCACCGCGTCGCAAGGTCCCACCAGCCGAGGCGTGCCCGTCTAACTGTAATCACGACCACGGCGATGGGCGATGGATAAAAAAAAAAAAGTCACGACCGCTCAGATGTTTGCGGGTGATGGCGGCGGGCACCGGGCCCGCGGTCGCGCGTCATCGCGAATTGCGAAACGTCGCCGCGACTCCCACGGTTCACCGCCCCCGCAATTGGCATCGCCCGGTGGCATGTGCCTCTCCCGGGGCGAGCGGGGGGTGACTGCCTGCCAAGCGGCGCTGTCAAGCGAGTTCAGCGGCCTCTTTTGCTCCCTCTCGTCGGGTGCCAAAAGGGCAGCGTGCCCACGCGTCTCCCACCATCAAAACCTCCGCCCCCCCCCCCCTTTCCCCCCCGGGGCAGCTCCACCATACCTGCCCCCCCCTCTCACCTGGGTGTAACGCCCGCAGCCAGCGCACACCTGAGATCCCCTCCCCCCCACCCACCCGCTCCCCACCCCGTGGAAAACTACCGGCCGCGTTACGTGGGTCCTGCCAGAGGAAGGGAGGGGGTGGCGGCGGCGGGTCGCGACCGTCGCCACGTCCAGACCGTGAGCGCGCTGGCGGTTACCTGCGGGCGGCCGACGAGGGGCGATGGGGTCAGGGGGGTGACGAGGGGGGGGGGTGGGGGTCAAGTGGGTGACGAGGGGCGATGGGGGTCAAGTGGGTGACGAGGGGCGATGGGGGTCAAGTGGATGACGAGGGGCGATGGGGGTCAAGTGGGTGACGAGGGGGGTGGGGGTCAAGTTGATGACGAGGGGCGATGGGGGTCAAGTGGGCGACGAGGGGGGGTGGGGGTCAAGTTGATGACGAGCTCTCGAGACGACGGACAGAGCCGCGCTACTTTCTTTATTTTATACTTTCCTGTGGAAAGGTTGCGGCAATCCCCAAATTTTTTAAGTCACTCCACTGTCTCTTCGCTCCCTCACCCTCCACGCCACCCCCACCTCCTCTCACCCCCCCCCTCACCCACCCACCCAGCACCTCGTCCGTCGTGCTTGTTCGCGCGGCGTTTTGCCGTTGTGTGTTTGTGTTTGTTGGTTTGTCGTCGCGCGCCTGGCAGACAGAGGTCGCAACCGGGCACCCGATACCCGTACCCTACCCGATACCCGGCTATCCGTACCCGGCCGGGTACGGGTACGGGTACCCGTTTGTGACCCTGGTGCAGCCAGGTACGGGTACGGGTTGACCGTGAATCACTGGTGAGTCACCGTTTGTCACTCATTTCCCAACGTCTTGTCTCTTCTCACAATTCAAGTTCCTAGAATCAACCCACCCGCGCCTGCAACATGACTTCATCCCAGAGGTCGCAATCAGGTACCCGATACCCGGGTACGGGTAGGGTACGGGTACGGCCGGGTACGGGTAAGGAATCAAAACCCGTTTGCGACCTCTGCTGGCAGGGTGGGGGCAGGGGGCGACCGCGGGCATCATGGCGGCGTCGTAGACTAGGGCCCTGTTGAACTGCGTCGTGTTGGCGATGCGTCGGAGCCCACGGCGGCGTCGCTCCGGTTTTGATGTTGTTGTTGTTGTTGCGCGGCTGGCCTCTCTACCCCCCCCCCCCCCCCGAGTCTCAAACCGGGACCTGGTGTGTCAACGCCGCACCGCACGGCTCGTCCCAGCCGTGAGCTGGCCGGGTGGGACGACTCGGTTAGCCGGCCCACGCCCACCTCCGTCGCTCGCTTCTGCTTTTGAAACGATCGCACTCGTGATGACCCCCTCCTCCCCCCCCCCTACAGACGGGGTGTGGGGGTGGGTCGGGGGATGGATGGCCCCGGGTTGAGCGCCCGCAGGCCACGCAACGCTCTCATTACGGTGTCGGCGGAAATACGTGGAATTGCGTTCTAGGTAATTCCTCCGCTGTTTTGCTTTGTGTTTTTTTGTATCCGGACCGGCCGGATTAATTTTTTTCCTTTTCGCCGACGGCTGAGAGAATCGACACGGCGCCGGTTCCGATTCTGTTCGAGCGTCGTCGTTGTCGATGGGCAACTTCTCTCCCCACTTCGTTCGTGGTCAACCTCCGCTCCTCACCCTCCACTCCTCACCTTCGCACCTCACCTGCGCTCCCCAACCTGCACTTGCGCTCGCTCACCTCTGTTGGCCGAGCGAGGCCACGTCGCCTGCTACGCCGAGGGATTCTCTTCTCTGTCCGCCGTTACCCCCGGGAGGAGTTCGTCCGTGACGATCCTCGGAAAGTTCTTGGGAGGGCAGGGGGGGGGCGGTGGGGAGTGGAAAGTTCCGTGAACGTCGTTTTTTCGTTGCAGCTTTTCTTCTCGTTTTTCGTTGTCGTATTTAACGCATCGTAGGCGGTGGCGTACGGACCGCGCACACGCGCGCGCTTGACGATGCTACGTACGGTGTGTACGTACGCAAGTTGAACTTCCATTATCGCCGTAGGTATCCGACCGCGATAATTTATCGGACGTCTCCCGGAGCGGGCGGGCGGGCGGGGCGGGTGGCAAATTTAAACGCGGGGAAAAAAAATGAAACCCCCAGTCCTGAACAAACACGCGGTGGTGCGGGCATGGCCGACTTGGGCACGTTTGTTTGGCCGCGGCAGATTTTTTTTAGTGGCCGTCGTCTACCGCACGACGGGCGGTTGCGGCAACCGGTTGCGGCAACCGGTTGCGGCAATTGGCCTCGCGTGATCCGAGTGTTGGCCCCTCTCGCCCCCCCCCCCCCCCCCCCGTGATTGGCAAGATCCCGGTCACCCTAAATTCCAGGTCGAGACCGGCTCCTGTTGGTGCCTGTACCGCCGCCGTTGTTGTGGTTCGTGGTTTTTATTTGTTTAGTCGTCGTTCGTTGTTGTCGTTGGGCGCGACGTCCGACGTTTCGCTCCGCTGGCTGGGCGGCGTCTGCAGGAGGTAGTGCCCAATAGCTCCCGCGGCAACGACAAACTCCCACCCCCCCCCCCCCCCCCCCCCCCGCGCGCCAAAAAAAATGAAAATTTTCTTTCATTATTTTCATTGTTGGCGCGACAACAGTTTTGTGGACGACGATTTCTCTCCAACCGCCCCGGGGTGGTAGCGTCGTGCCCTCTGGGCGTGCTGGGAGATAATGTCGCGTCGTGTCCCCGCAATCATCGCTGCACCCCCTCCCCTCTTCCTCCGTGTCACACGGTTGTCGCCATGCTCGGTCCGCTGCTGGCCGCCGCTACGTGAGACGCATCTCGCTGGGATAGGGCAGCGAGCGAGCGAGCGAGCGGGCGGGCGGCCACACGCTCTGAGATTGCAGAATCACCGGCACCGCCGCCCGTTCCGTTCCCGACCTCGCGAAACCCCGGTTGTATGTTTTGGCAGCTAGTGTGCGTGCGTGTTGTGCGTTGTGCGGTTTGTCGAGGCTTAAGAAGGCGTGGGGGGAGAGAGGGGGGGGGGGTGCGGTTTTGACGTCGCCCGCGGCACCACCTCTCGCGCGCTTCGCTCTCGAAGGAGCTTCGCTCCCGTGGTGGGAACACAAAAACGATAAAGAAACGAACAAGAAGTTACAACGACGACGACGACGACAACAACGATGACAGAGCGAGAGGAGAGAAATGAGGTGTCCGATACGTTACGTCGAGATATCGAGGGAGTAGGTAAACGTTTGCCGGGTTTATTTCTCACTGCCCGCCATTTGGCACCACGTTCTCGGCCATCCCTGCCACGTGTGTGTGCGCGCGTGTGTGCGTGCGCGTGCGTGCGCGTGTGTGCGCGTGTGTGTGTGCGCGTGTGTGCACGTGTGCACGTGTGTGCGTGCGCGTGTGTGTGCACGTGTGCGCGTGTGTTCGTGCGCGTGTGTGTGAACGTGTGTGCGTGCGCACACGTGTGTCCGTATGTGGGGAGCGGTGGCGCAGCGGTTAGTGCTACGTCGCGCCGCTACGAACCCGGCGACCCGAGTTTGATTCCCGCTCACGGCCAACACCGATGACGATTTTCTGAACCGGTCCCTTGGCCCTCCTCCCCTAGGTCGACTCGGCCTCAAATGAGCACCTGGTGCGGTGTGTAGTAAACATCGCCGCCGGGGAGACAAAGGCGACCGGGCGTGGTGCTGGCCACCCACCCCCTTCGTTGCGGCCTTCATAGGTGCACGCTAACAGCCCCAGCAGCCTGTGAAGGCGGCTATACAGGGGGTGGTGGGGGGGGTCTTTGTCTCCGTGTGTCCGTGTGATCACAGGCTCGTCTGTTTACGTTCAGCACTTGTTTTGTTTAGACGCGCGGCGCACGACATTTTTAAGATGCGGCAAAAGTGGTGAACATTATTTGCGTAATTGTACCGTGACGAGATTGAACATTCCCCACTCCCCCCCCCCTCCTCCCCCCACGTCCCCCAGCAAGTCGCCACGGCGGAGTTTTAAGAAAACGCGTGAAAAACGTTCGTGGTTTATTTTTTGTTCATAGTGTTGCGGCTTCTCTACCCAATGGGTCATGCGTGGCCATGATGATGATGATGTTGTTGCTGCTGCTGCTGTTCTGCTAAATTGTTCGTCTCCCCCGGCATTAACCCCCCCTCCTCCCCCCGACCTTAACGCTCCCGAACGGCGGCAGGGGGGGGAGGGAGCGACTTCCCCCAGCCGGTGACTGAGACGAACTCGTGAAAGGCGGAGACCTGGGGGGGGGGGCGTGGTGCCGACCTGGAGCCCGAGGGCGAGAAGCAGACACACCACCCCCCACCCACCCCCCGCCACCCCCACGCGTCAACTCGTCTCACCGGAGCGGTGTTTGACGTCGGTGGTGATTGGACACGGGAGAGGTGGCGGGAGGGGAGTCGGAGCTGTTCCCGCTGACTGAATTGGTCTCGGGCGCTGCCACGGGGAAAATAAAAAATATTCAATTTTTTTGCGTAAAGATTCTAATAACGGAGCCACGGTGGTGACCTGTGTGACGTCACTTGGGACCGGCCCCAGACCTCTCCTAGAGCCGGAGCCGCCGGAGCCTCCACCGCCACCACCCTGGCTGGGAGGGTGGTGGTGGGGGGGGGGTCAACTTGCATTGACCTCCCCCTACCCCCCCCCGATAACAAAACGCACACCGCCCCCGTAAGTTGATACAGGGTCACGTGCGCACGCCCTCGTCGAAAACAAACGCGCACCTCTGTTGCAGCCAACGAGGTCTCGTTTGCGGCGAACATCGACCTCGTTGAGTTTTACGCGACTTATTTTAGCGAAAAAAATTTCGTTTTTTAAAATATAATTTTATAATTTAATTGGGACCCCGGCGCGAAAAACTCTCTCGTGGCCATCGGAGGCGCGTTCCAGGCATCCGCCAGAGCCTCCTCATCACGACGACGCCGGCTTCGTTTCCAAAGTGTTCCCCGCTTGGCAAATGGGCACCGGTCCGAGCCGTCTCCCCCCCCACCCCCACCCCCCCCCACGCTGTAGGGGTCACGCATTCAGCCCCCCCCACCCACCTCTTACACCCCCCCCCCACCCCAAGCGAGAGAAGGTCAGAGGTCGATGAAATGAATGTACGGTGGCGGCCAGATTGTGCCGAGCGGTCTGTGCCCCCCATCCCCTCCACACCCCCCACCCCCCCCCCCACCCCCCTCCACCCCCACCACCCCCCTCCACCCCCCACCCCCTCCACCCCCCTCCACCCCCCTCCACCCCCACCACCCCCTCCACCCCCACCCCTCCACCCCCCCTCCACCCCCCTC